AAAGCAATTTATTAAGTTATTTTCATTATTTAAATGTAATAATTTTTTTTTTTTTTATAACATAAAACTTTATCTAAATCCACTAAGAAATTATACTGTATATACTGCATACCTTCATCCCAAACATCAATGTCTCTCTTATTGGTTTGCTCAACTCTTATCACTACAGAACCTACTTTTTGATCGATATTGGTCTCACAATTTTCATCTAATCTGACTAGCACGGATTTGTCGCATATCAGGACTAATTAGTAGCACATAAAATAGCCTATTGAAGATAGAGTAATATTAAAACATTTCATAATAATAGACAGTTGGGGCAGTCTTAGTCAAAACATGCCTTCGTGAGGTCCAACAAATTGTTACACATACCTAATTGTAATATGATGTCGTCACTTTTTATTATTAATTACTGCAGTATAGTAATTAATAAAAAGTGTCGACACCCATGTTACAATTAGATATGTGTAACAATTTGTCTGACTTCACGAAGGCATGTTTTGACTGAGACTGCCCTAGTTAAACACAAACATGGTTGTCAAGAGGTATAGTGACTTACCTGGTAAGTTACTGATAGGTTTAACAAATGATGATCACATATTTCTATCTGATCACATAATTTGTACAAATCGAATAGAATTTAGGTCTGCATAGCAGAAATGAGGAGCCCTATCCCAACACCCTCTTCCACGATGCCTAGATAATCGCCTCTTAAACCACCAACACTCATTGCTTTCATTGTAAGTATATTTAAGTCCAAATTGTCATTATTTGTTTCTATCACCTGATAATTTCTTGATCAAAATCCTCTAGATTTATATTATTAGTTTTTACCTTCTGAATGTCTCTTCTTGTACCGGTACCGTTACGATAACATTGAGCTAATTGACGTTTTATTACCCATATTAGCAGCTTTTTTATAGCATTCAAATGCTTCATAATAAAAACTAATACAACCTATTCCGATAACATTATCCAAATCTGCAGATTTCTTACAATATTCAAACGCTTTCTGGTAATTTCTTTCTACCTAATTCTAGTATCACAACATTTACTTACTTTATTAATCCCTTCGGATTTCCTAACTTGGCTGCTCTCATAAAATATTCAAAAGCCTTCTTTTTGTTCTTCTTAACACTAATACCATATTCATAATTATGACCGAGGTTAGAAAGTTGTTCAGAATCCTTTTTTTTTTAAAGCAGAGGAGAAAATTCAAATGCTTTCTGGTAATTTCTTTCTACCCAATTCTATTATCACAATATTCACTTACTTTATTAATCCCCTTCGGATTTCCTAACTTGGCTGCTCTCATAAAATATTCAAAAGCCTTCTTTTTATTCTTTTTAACACTAATACCATATTCATAATTATGGCTGAGGTTAGAAAGTTGTTCAGAATTCTTTTTTTTTTAAAAGCAGAGGAGAAAATTCAAATGCTTTCTGGTAATTTCTTTCTACCCAATTCTATTATCGCAACATTCACTTACTTTATTAATCCCCTTCGGATTTCCTAACTCGGCTGCTTTTATAAAATATTCAAAAACCTTCTTTTTGTTCTTCTTAACACTAATACCATATTCATAATTATAACCGAGGTTAGAAAGTTGTTTAGAATCCTTTTTTTTTTTAAAGCAGGGGGGAAAATTCAAATGCTTTCTGGTAATTTCTTTCTACTCAATTCTATTATTGCAATATTCACTTACTTTATTAATCCCCTTCGGATTTTCTAACTCGGCTGCTTTCATAAAATATTCAAAAGCCTTTTTTTCGTTCTTCTTAACACTAATACCATATTCATAATTATGACTGAGGTTAGAAAGTTGTTCAAAATCTTTTTTTTTTTTAAAGCAGGGGAGAAAAATCATGATGCAAACTTTAATTATACGTAAATTGTACACCATAATTATTATTGCTCTATGATTTCCATAGTTATTATTATTGCTATGACTCTTAGACCTATTCTTTACATAAAGATTGTCAGGAGAATAGCGAATTTCGCATTTTCTCTGTTGCCATGAAGAGCTCAATCCAGCTTCTTCTTTTTCCTTATCTCATTCTTGTGCATCATGATTCTAAATTTTACATTTGAGCATTTTCTTGTGTTCATTGCTTAAAAAAAAGGGTTGATTATTAAATAAATTATAAAATGATTCAAAAAAAAAAAGATATAATCAAAATTCTAATTGATGTACATACGTACGTACTTTATTTATTTTGTGTTCCCATGATTTACCATTATATTGTTACCACTTCGTAAGAAAGAGAGCCGTTAACTATGACTTTGAAACTCTGGTTCTCCTCTAAAATTATTTTTGGAATTATCATGATCATTATGTGGGTATTGTTAATCTCACAAGGGGCATTACCACGTTTCTTGAGATCTAGTTGCTACTATTTGCTGAACATAGGGATTGGACCCGGGTTACTATATGATTACCAGATAACTTGGATAATTTAATAATACCCGGGTAGGGATTTTCTCAATAGATCCTGAACCACAATCTTCATTTTCAATAGAATTATCTAATAAGCCCTGATCTGTAAATTTATCTCACAGTCTTTATTTTTAAAAGATTTGCCAACTAATAGGCTCCAACCTTCATTCTCTGTTTTTAGTAGATTGTTTAAACCTTCTGGTTCACGATCCTTATTTCCTTTCTGTTCACAAAACTATTTAATATAGGTTAATTATATATTATTGTTTATATTAAAAATTAAAATGCCTACATTAAATCATAGAAATTATCTACTTTGCTAGCTTTAGTATACTACTCTAACACATATCTTTGGCGAACTTCATCTAAAAAAAAAAGAAAAAGTTAACAAAAAAGAATAAGAAGTATATATAAATTGGTGTCTCTAATGTCTGATTAGAGACAAATAAGCTTGTTTAATACCAAATAGCTATCCGAAAGATATTGTTTTTGATTTATAATATTAATTGAAAATTGTTCAAGTTAATGAATAACTAAGAAGGTAATATATTCCAATTTTAAACTCAAGCTCAAATTTTATAAGGTGTCTAGTTGCATTAATACATAGGCATTAGCGATCCCCGAATTTATAAAATAGTAGAATTTCTACCTTTCAATAATGTGATTTGTAAGATTCAACATTTGAAAATAACCGTAATTAAAATTGTTATTGTATTAGTAATTAAAATAGATCAAAAAAAATACTCTTATTTTGGCAAAAATACCTAATCATCTTATATTTTCGTCTCTGTAAAAAGGATTTGTAAAACATATACCTACATACACAAATATAATTTTAAAAAAAAACATATTACAATTTTTTGCAAGCGTATAAGAATATGCTTTTATAAAATTTTACTATTGTTCTAAACTTTTTGACTTAATGATTTAATACTATACTCTATCTAATCTACAGTACAATTTGTTTCTTGTCAAGAATATATAACTAATAGATATAACTAAATTTTCAAAAAAGTAAAAATCTATTTTATGCGAAGCTTTTTGATTTTTCGTACTTCTGATAATTCATTAAAAGTATAAAAAAGCATTCTGCTTTCATGTTCAATTATTTTCTGAATTGCTGGTTTTCTTTTTAATAAGTGGCCACCATTTTTAAGAGTTTTTCAAAAAAATACCGATACTTGAATATAATTTTTCTTCTCTACCGCATTATATGAAAAACTTCCTAGTTCCCATTTTAAGTGTATTTCAAGTAATTCCCATCCATGATATACCAAAGCGTGAATATAGAGGATTACTTGGCTTGGCATATATAAACCTTGTATAAAGGTTTTACTGTTTAATGGATCACCTTGAGAAGGTGTTAAAAATAACATAAGCCAATTATATGCTTGTTGCTTAAATTGTTGAGGATTTGTAAAAAAATTAAGCATCAATTGTATAGATTAAAAAATTCATCCCAAAGTTGACGTAACATATAAGCCCGGGAAGGTCGAAAAAGTAATTTTAAATTAAATTCATTCAAAACCTTTTTTTTATCATCACCTGACAAAGAAGTATATTTCCAAATATGTGATTTATCTTCCCAAAAATCAAATGTAATTTTTAATCATTTCATTTCATTTATAATTACTTGTCGAGTTATATCATTAAAGAGTCTTTTTTCTTCAATTTCTGCTAATATCAAAGTCCAAAGTCTATCAGTAACTCGTAATAAAAGATGAAGTGTATCAAATACAAAATGATCAAGAGGTATCATATCAAAAAGAGGTGGTCGAATATGACCAGGATAGCTTTTAAAGTCTACTTGTAATTTTTCCATTGATTTAGTTATTCTCCAATCTTTTTGAAGTTCTGCATGCTGGTTTTTAGAACATTCACACCAGGGACAAAAATGTTTTGAATTGGTACTATTAATTCCTAAACATATTCCTAAAAATTTCCAGTCAGAACTAAAGTATAGTTCAAATTTCCAAAGAATATTAGTGCATATTAGTCCTTCATCTTTAAAAACTCATAGCTCTTCAAGAAATAAACTTAGTGCTAATTGTAAAGTTTCATATTTTTCAGTACCCGGATATAAAATTGTAGTATAATGATAATCAGGATGATGGTGATGTAATCTGTCATTTAAAATCATTATTGTTACCATTACTTGTTTTATTTTGCGCCCTATATTTCTTCCATCTCCTGATATCCAAAGATTAATTATAGAATTAAATAATTGTAAAATATTTTTGTGCATTAACTTAGGAATTATATAAAGTAAAATATCTTTGGCACTACATTGTACTCCAGTTCCAATAGCATTAATTACTTCTTGAACTATTTTAAAATCAAAATTATCGGGCTTTTTTGTTATACTAATTGCATTGTTTAAATTAAATTTATCTAAATCAATTAGATTAAATTTAATTTTTTGATTCATTTGTTTAGTTATATTACTTTGTTCATTAAACACAGACCATTCTCGTGGAAAAAGCTGCTCAATAGCTACTAATTTACGATATGCATCTCTAGAAATTTGCCCTTGATCAATTGCTTGAACTGTTTTTTGAAGTTTTCATTTTGTTTTAATTTTATTATCTGATCCAAATTTAATATGAAAATCGTATTCATTTACTGAAAATTCTAATGTTTTAAGAGTTAATTTGTCTTTAGGATGATATATTTGCGATGCTTGGTTATTAATTATTAATAATGATTTTGATGATAATGCTCTAGCCCGATTTTCTAAAGTTGTTTCAGTATATTGATTAGCAGGTTTAACTTGTCTCAATTTGTTATAAGATTTTCTAACTTTTTGAACAGTTTTTAGCTGTAATCCAAAAACTAATGAACCTGAGATTGTAGTTTTAGAACTAGAATTAATAGCCTAAAATAAAATAAAATTTATATATAAAATTAAACAAATTATTAAATAATAATAAATACAATATAATAATATATATTTTCATATAATAATGCAGCTTGTGATGTTGATTTTGTCGATAAAATTGTGTTTTCAAAATTTACTCCATATTTTATTAAAAACTGTGGTTTATTATCAATATAATCAATTTGACAATAAACAATTTTATGTTTTGTTCCATGTCCCTATTTAGTTATAACAGCATATTTGTCCGGAATCATATATTCTTGAAATGGTCTTTTGTTTTTTATATTATAATTTTCTTGTATATTTTCTTTAAAGTTTTTTTGTTTTATAGTTGTAACTGTATTTGAAGGATAAATACCTTCCTTTTGAATATTATATATAAAGCTACGTTGAGTTCTATTTTTAAAACGTTTTTTGTATATAATTTTTGTAGAAGAAGGATATGTTGAGTCTTCTTCAATTTCAAATTGGTTTTCTTGATTTAATAAATTTATATTTTTAAAAATGAAATAAAAATTATATATTAATTATTATCTTTATACGTATTTATTTTTAATTATATACTCAAAATATGATTGGTTAATTTTGCTGTCAAATGATTAACGCATTATATATAGTGATGCCACCAAAATTGATTTTCAAAAAAGACCTATTTCATCTCTATTAGAGCAAATTAAAATTTTTTATAAGAAAGAGCAAATAAAATTTATATATTTAT